ATTTCGGGGGGGGGGAAGAGTTTCAATAGTGTTCTCATGACCTTTTACACTATTAAGCCTTCCTTCTAACAATGATGGACTACTTCACTAGCCAATAGTACATGTCATTTGCCATTAAATCCCGGCTTACACTCCATCCCCCGCATCTTCCAAAAGAAAACACAGCTGTAGTGTAATGAATATATATATATATATATATATATATATATGTGTGTGTGTGTGTGTGTAATACGTAATATGTAAGTTTTATATGAACCTTGATTCACACCAAATGATGCCCGTATTAAAGCAATACAAAAATCAACTAAATTTTATTCTCTACAGGTCATCAGAAGCTAGATATGAAGAGGTACCTGGTATAGTCGCTCTATCTCTGGTGTATATGCCGCTTTTCAGCTATCCAGAGCGTCCCAAAATCGAAAACAGGTGAATAGCCAAAACCGAGATTTCTTTTTTTTGTTCATCATCTTTCTTCAAAAGGCCTAGCGCCTATCTACTTCTAACAATAACCGTAATTATATCACCATTTGATGGAGCAAAACAGTCTTCATGATCTTTGACTACCTACGTTTTATTATTATTCTGTGCAAAGCAAAATTTAAAACAAAGAGAAAATCACTGGCAAAACAAATAGAACCAGAATTTCCAATCGTAAAATATTACTCTATTGTAAAATAGTTATAAAACTGGCATTATAAAGTTAACTAAAAGAAAGGTCTAATGATGAAAGCTGAGACTCTATTCAAACACCAAGCTTTCGATAGACAAAGTGGAGAAGCCAGTAATATAGGGATTTTATTATCCATGTAAAGTCAAGAAGGTTTAGCCTGCTATGTGATCAGTAGCCGGATCAAGTTATATGTCCACTTCCATTCCTGTCTTGTTTGGTTCCTTTTTTTCTTTTCGAGTTCAGTAGCCAGCCCTACATAGCTTGTTTGTTCCGCGATAATATTTTTTAATGCTTATTATTAACGACAATGATAATCGTCATCACAGTTATAAGTTCAAGCTGAATCAACAAACACATGCCTGAGAAAGGTGGATAATCGGTTATTACGGTTACTTTACACTTTAATATTTCATCAATTTAATAATTTATCATTGGAGTAGTGTTGTTTTGTAAGTGAGGGGCTCACCACTAGAGGGGTTTTCAGAGTAGCAACGGCCAATCCTGGTCTAAAATCAGGGATCGATACGTAGAACCGGTAGAAACCCACTTTGTACACGTACAATTTCTTTAAATCAATATACCGGAATATTTAGGTAGATTTTGAAAAGGTTTACGAGTGGGCGTATTATGTTAGATTCCAAAGTAACCTACACGTGTTGTTACGTTTTGAAAGGTTTTCAAAAACTCAAAGTAACAAAAATGGGACTTGAAGCCAGACCTCATTCAGTCCGGTTACTTTAAAACCGGTACTTAAAGTTTACATACATTTGTGTTCCTCCCCCACCCTGTTTCGTTTACAAACGACCTCCCCCTACAGGTTTACGCTTCCGCTGTTTAAGATATAATCACTTAGGGTTAAAGCCGAGCTAAATCATAAGGCCCCAGATCACATCTGTTTGTATAAAAGGTGGTTCTAAGTTTATGTTCCTCGGGTTTGTATAAACGTCTGAGTGGACCAGCCTCTCTTGAACTGATGATTCGACAGGAAACAGACTAGTGAGAATCTTATAGGCGTGAGCACTGGCTGAGTTATAAATTTTTGCCATTTAAGATTTAATTTTAGCACCTAAAACTTTAGTTACGATGGGAAACGTACCACACTAAACCAATCTGTTAACAACACTATTTGCCTGCGTGACCTTTTACTGTCACGTGCCTAGCTCTTGCGATAAGGCCGAATGTGCTAAGACTGCTTGTCAAACAATGACCAAGTGAGAAGGTTACAATGACGTTGAGTGATTCCTGTAGATTTCAAGTGGTCAGTCACTATTTTGCCACAATAATAGGCAGAAGATTAATGGTGGTTGACCCTCTGTATGTTGACATTATTTTATCATTCTTATAATAACAGGACCACGCATGTAAAATAACAAAAACAAATAGGGTGTTCCGAGACAAAGTTTGCTCTGAACTGTGAAAAATAACGGTTATGTGTTGACATAATGATCTTTTTTTTTGTATTTTCTTTCATTTAACAAGAATGTTTGGTATCCTAAACCACACCACTAATTGGCTATTGGGATTAGTTTTAATTCTCTTACTGTAATTTTTCTTTTTTCGAACGATACGAGCTCAACAAGAGCAGGTTACCTAGCTTTAAATATCTTTTTTGGCGATTAGTTTATACTTTGTTCTATAATAACATTACGTCCGGACGTTCGATTACTGTAATCACTGTCTAGCTGTAATGATGCTTTATAGTCTGTATTTGTTCGTACTGTAACGGTGTCACGTTATAAAGTCTGGATCCTGGTAGAGCTTCTTGCTGTAATGACACATTATTGAGTCTGGATTCTGGTAGAGCTTCTTGCTGTAATGACACATTATATAGTCTGGATTCTGGTAGAGTTTCTTGCTGTAATAACACATTATATAGTCTTTGGATTCTTGTGTGACGTTACAACACTTAAACATATAGGGAGACATGCTTGAGTTTCTTCTTGATCAATTGTCAGTATTATACTGAACGTAGTCTACAGTTCTTCCATACATATTGGACTCATAAAACGCTACGCCCAACCTCGTGTCAGCGTTGCCCAGAATCACAAAATTATAGATATTAGTACTTGAAGCCCTAAATTCAAGGCAACTGTTTTTTAACTGTCATCACTAGTTTAAAAACTATACTTATATAGTAATTATAAACAAGCCTGACCCAATTGTTTGTGAACAATAATGTGTTGAACCTATTAACTTCCTCTATCAACAAAATTCACTTCTATTTCTCCCATAATTATCTCTCGTAATATCTCCCAGGTGGCTCTGCGATAAGTCTGATGGCTTATAATACTAAAACTCGCGTTTGCGGTAGGCAAAGCACAGATAACCCATCGTGCAGATTTGTGCTTAACAACAATCAAACAAATTCGTTGAGTAAATTATTTAAACTCATGAATTCCAACACGCAGACTGAAATTAGATTCCATACAAATAGAAATAATCACAAATCACTGTCACATTTACTTTTCTGTTAGACTTATTTGTAACATCATTTGATGTAATTCAATTTTTCTCAAGGACATGAGAAATGTATTTTGAAATCAGTAAATATCTAAATAACAGTATTTAGCACTCATGTTAATTTTCAAATTAATATATATATATATATATATATAATGGTGTATATACACTGAGAGGTCACAAGTAAATAGACACCTAATTTTTTGTCATTTAACTGATTTATGCTAACTAATCTGTGTGTTCACAGAGCACAATATGA